ATCCATTATTCATGCCTGATGAATGACCCAGCATAAACAGAGCCACAAATACCCGGCGCCTCCTCCTGCTGACGGGCGGGCCGGGACGGCCGGGTCCGCCGGACGACGGCCGCTGGTCGGCTGTCGGGCGGAGTGAGCTCTCGCTCGTGAGTGGACACTGGGCTCACTAGTTTGTGCCCGTCCGGTCGGCCGGATTTCCCCTTCATCCGTGTCTCACTCAGCTCCGCAAACGTGTGTGCTGTGATCTCATGGGGAGTGCCGTCAAGTTATATGGACGCTGTCTGACCGTCAGACCTGTGGTTCGCTTCTGAAGGATATGGGCGTATAGCCTTGGTTCTGTGTGTTTGTCGTGCGACATATGCATGAAGCTGAGAGACATTTCTGAAACCGGGTGGTAGTCAAATGGCCGCGGTTTTGACCTCACAGTCCCGGCGGCGGTACGATCCCCCTTCAATTTACGATGAGCGATTGTTTAAAGGGTGTCTATTCCAAGAAGCGCGCTTCAGGACTTACGCCCTCAATACAGCTGCCTGTCGACTCACTGCCTGTATGGCCACTGGTGGCGAACATTACCTTTTGCTTCTTCGTCGATTACTGCGCATTGCTGGTACCGTATGCCGCTTGCTGGAGCTCACTGGTGCCGCATGCCGCATGCTGCGCTGGGTGCGCTGCTCCCCGGTGTGTGCTGCGTGCGCTGCCCCCCCGGTGTGTGTTGTGTGTGCTTCCCCGGTGTGCGCTGGGTACGCTGCTTCCCGGTGGGTGCTGGGTGCGCTGTTCCCCGGTGTGCGCTGGATGCTCTGCCCCCGGTGTGTGTTGGACGCGCTGCTCCCCGGTGTGTGCTGGGTGCGCTGCTCCCCGGTGTGTGTTGGGTGTGCTTCCCCGGTGTGTGCTGGGTACGCTGCTCCCCGGTGTGTGTGGGATGCTCTGTTCCCCGGTGTGTGTTGGATGCGCTGCTCCCCGGTGGGTGTTGGGTGCGCTGCTCCCCGGTGGGTGCTGGGTGCGCTGCTCCCCGGCGCGTGTTGGATGCGCTGCTCCCCGGTGTGTGTTGGATGCGCTGCTCCTCGGTGTGTGTTGGATGCGCTGCTCCCCGGTGGGTGCTGGGTGCGCTGCTCCCCGGTGGGTGCTGGGTACGCTGCTCTCTGATGGGTTTTACGTGCGCTGCTCTAGACGACTCCGTAAGAGGCCGTACCACCTGACAACGCATTGAATGGCAAATGGCCTCCGAGCGCGCCACTGCCTGCATTGGTTCGTGTCACAATGTGTGGCAGTTGGCCCGCGAGAGACGAAGCGTTCCGTCGGCGTGTGGGGCAGTTTTGGGGCGGTGAGCGGACCTGTCCGGGTGACATCGTAGCTGCCTGGTAGCTGAGCGTGTTCGTCACTCCTATACACGAACATCAGTCAATACATAAACCATAGCGATGCAGCCGGGTCTTGGTGCCTGCCAAATCAGCGCTGAATTGCATGGTGCTGCCACGGGACGCTGATCCCGGGCTGTAGTGATGGATGGCGCCCTGATGCCGGGCTGCAGTGATGGACGGGATGCTGGTGGCGAGCTGTAGCGACAGACGAGATGCTCATGGCGAGCTGTAGCGATGGACAGGATGCTGATGGCGAGCTGTAGTGACAGACAAGATGTTGATGGCGAGCTGTAGTGATGGACAGGCTGCTGATGGGGAGCTGTGGTGGTGGACGAGATACTGATGGCGCGCTGTAGTGATGGACGGGATGCTGATGGCGAGCCATGGTGATGGACGAGATGCTGATGGCGAGCTGTAGTGATGGACAGGATGCTGATGGCCAGCTGTGGTGGTGGATGGGATGCTAATGATGCGCTGTAGGGATGGACGGGATGCTGATGGCAGCCGTAGTGCTTGACGGGATGCTGATGACAAGCTGTAGTCATAAATGCGATGCAAATGTGGTGTGCGCACTCGTTCCACAGCATACGTTTGTGATGTAAACGGCGCGTTTTACAAGCGTAAAAAGCGCGTTTTAGCACACCACATGCCCTGAATTCCGGCACGCACATACATGCAGCGCACATCCCATTTCGATGCACTGCGCTGAATAACACACCGGTGTGAGCGGGCGCCGGCCACCCACTGTCCGTTGTCGTGGTAGTTCACACGGTCTAGGGGTCACAAGTGGTCTCACAGGCTGTGTCCCTCCTTGTCCAGTTTGCTATCACGGACCACACACGACCGACCAACGCTTTCAAGACGGCCGTGTCCGTGCCGGCTCGCCGGCGGTGACGCCGTCCCTGGCTTGCTGCTGCCGTGTCCGTGCCGGCTCGCCGGGGCGGCGCCGTCCCTGGCTGGCTGCTGCCGTGTCCGTGCCGGCTCGCCGGCGGCGGCGCCGTCCCTGGCTGGCTGCTGCCGTGTCCGTGCCGGCTCGCCGGCGGTGACGCCGTCCCTGGCTGGCTGCTGCCGTGTCAGTGCCGGCTCGCCGGCGGTGACCCTGTCCCTGGCTGGCTGCTGCCGTGTCAGTGCCGGCTCGCCGGCGGTGACGCCGTCCCTGGCTGGCTGCTGCCGTGTCAGTGCCGGCTCGCCGGCGGTGGCGCCGTCCCTGGCTGGCTGCTGCCGTGTCCGTGCCGGCTCGCCGGTGGTGACCCTGTCCCTGGCTGGCTGCTGCCGTGTCCGTGCCGGCTCGCCGGCGGTCACGCCGTCCCTGGCTGGCTGCTGCCGTGTCCGTGCCGGCTCGCCGGCGGCGGCGGCGGTGAGCCTGGCGGGCCGCTTCCGCCGGCCGCGCTGGTAAGGCTGCCGACCGTGGCCAGGTGTCGCCCATTAGAGCGGCGCCCACCACGGGCCTCGTGACTGGCTGTTAACGACGACGACCTGACGGCCGCGCCACCGTGCCGTGACGGCGGCGGGTCGGTTACGTCACCTTGTCGGCGGTGGCGACACTGCGGTTACGTCATTCATTGTGACGGCGACACTGACGAACGCGACACTGAGGGTCGTGAACGGTGCTTTGCTGTTGACGCTAACGACTGCGTCGCTAAAGGTGCCACCGACAGCCTGGTCGCTTCGATGACCGCGCTGGTCGGCGTATAGGAAGGAGTAAGCCATAATGGGCTGGTCTTGCGGGAACGCACGCGTGCCATTTGGGGCACTGACCTAGACTGTTTGCGTTTCCGCGTGTGCGTGCCGACACACACCCTCCGTGACGAGGTGTTTGGGTCTTGATATGTTTGCTTAACCGGGTCTGTTTAAGCTCGAGGTGCCGGTTGAGCAGAGCCAAAGCAAACTCTGCGTGAGCGGATCGGCCAGTCCAGTCCGCCAGTCGCTCCCGGCAGCGGGTCCGTGCTGTCCGATTCCGATTGAGCACTCGCTGTCCGGACAAGAGCACCGTATGCCGGCACTTACGATGGATCATGGCATCAGTTGGTGCCCCGTTCACACGACTGTGATCGCTCCATCGACGGTCATTGATCACCTGACGAGCGGCCGACTATGATCCGGAACTGGGTAGTGGTATGAGTAATGCACACAAGCGGGATGAGCCCTGTCATGTGGTGCGTAATGCTAGCGCAGTTACACATTGCATTATAGGCATCAGGCTTGTTTTTCACGCTGTTTTCACGTTTCATTGTTTTATTATCACACCTGGCAGGTGCGCGTCGGCGACTTGTAACGAAGTTTGTCTTTCAGAAAACACAAGTATATGCAAAGTAAAATAAAGAATGTGTGTACGACAGCCGTCCCGTAACAGAAACATCACACGGAACGACGGATATGCTTATGTTGCGAGCATCTGCGTATGTGCTCTCGATCCTGTGCTGTATGCACGTGCCTGAAAGGAGGGGTTGTCTGATGTGACTTACTAAGTCCTGCCCGGTCCCGCCGGGCTCCAGTCGCCCGCTGACCGGTCCCACCGGTCCCACCGGTCTCCGGGGAGCCCCGGTGCCGGCCGCCGCTGGCTAACCCCATCGGCTCGGGCGGCGCCGGCAGTGCCCACGGTCTAATGCGATCCGCCGGGCGCCGGCCCGCCGCGAAACAGCGTTACCGGCCCAATCGTCGGAGAGGAGTGGCGCTGTTGGCCGATATCGCCGCTCGGATGGCCGGGGAGCGGCCGGCGCGGATGGCCAGGGAGCGGCCGCGTGATGTCGCCGCTGGGGTGGCCAGACGTGGCTCGTGTCCAGCAGCAGGTGCTAGTCGCGATGATATTCCGAAATCGCTGCTGTGCCGAATCTGGGGACATAAGTTTGGCACAGCAAACCGAACTGGATTTCCGGAGTGGATTTGGTGATATGTCTGACAGACCACACCACGCAACGACGGATACCATTATGAGCCGCCAGACTGGTGCTCCGCGATACTGGGACGATACCAGGACGATGCCAGGACGACCTGTCACCAGCTTAAGTCCTTCCGCCGATTCGATGTAAGGCCATGTAAGACTGACCGCAACACCAAGCATCTGCATGCGCCTGGCTTGGAGGGCAGGTGAAGTGTCGATTTCCCCCATGTGACTTTGTTCTGACTCCGGACAGATGGGACACAGATCTCGTTTGGCGCCTGCGCCTGATGGCCGGCTGCAGCTGGTGTCCGGTGTGGTGGGGTGCGTCTGGCGGGGGCGGCTGCGTTTCCGGCGTGGTGTGCGTCTGCGGGGGCGGCCGTGTTTGCCCTGTCTGGCCTCTGACGTATGGCCAGATCCCAGAGGGCGCCAAGCCACCGGCAGGGAGGGACGCCGCAAGGCGACTCTCCTGCTTCCTCCGGCCGTTGCCAGCGTCGCCCCCCACCGCCGGGATGGGTTCCTCCCACCGATGACACACGATAGGGATGTCACCGCCCTTCTATCCGCCGCATCTGGCCACCTGCCGGGTCTAGCCGGCGTCGACCCCCCCCCCCCCCGGTCCCGGTCCCGGCGGCTGTCGCGTCCCCTTCATCCCCCTCCCCAGCACCACACGTGTGGGTCGGGTGATGCCTGAACGACTGGTCTCCTGGGTTGGGCGCCTCTCTACCCTCTACCAGAGGTTTCTGAATGTCACCGACTTCATCATGAGTCGCCACGACGAGCGTCCGGTACGTGATGTCACACCGCATGTGCCGCTAATTGAGCCACTCCGAAGAGCCTCCGTGCTGCTCATGGCTCAGCGTGGTGATTGCTGAGCCACGAACTCGCGCTGGAGTTGACTTGACCGCAGTTGACTATTGACTGTAGCGTGCTCCCCGTGTTGTGAAGTCTCCCCCGTCCGAGCCGAGTTCTCGTGGCATGTCCTAATGCGGCACCAGTGTGGCGTGCCAAATACGCAAACTACAACTTCCACCCTTGCCAAATCGCATCGCACATTGGTGGAAACGGAGAAAGGCTAATTCCATGCATACTACAGATGCTCTCGTCGCTGATGAATGATGCGATTCGGCGAAAGTGAAAAGCATGTAACTAATACGATCATGCCACGCAAATACGAGGTGGTTAGCAGGTATATTTATCGCAGGCGGTAGGTGACTGATGGCGACAGTGCGGCCCGGGCGCCGTCGGTGCGCTGTCTCGCCGCCTGCCGGCTGGAGCCGACACGTGCCTGCGTGAAGGGACTCCACCTCATCGGAGCGCAGAATGGCTGCTCGTTAACGAGGCCGCGTCAGCGCGCCGGCTGCCGCAGCGGCAGGTGTTGGCTATCGGTGTCTCCTCTTGCCCGCCTCCCTCGCTCAGGCTGCGCGCTCCGTCGGGGATCGCGGCCGTCGGCAGCAGCCCGGTGCCGATGTACGTCACGGCCGGTGCCCTGCCGGTCAGCTGGCGGCTGGCTTTTCACCGGCGTGACAACCGCGGGTCGAGTGTACTCTTGCTCTGCCCACTCAACCGACCGTTGACCACCGGCTGACCTGGGTCACGTGACGCGGCCATCGCGCCTGTCTCCCGCACGCGGAGCGCCTGGCAGGATCACGTGATCTACATGCTTGAGGATTTTCGTGACCCGTCCGACTAGAGCCGCCACTGTTTTCATTGAAAATTTCTGACCGTCAACGGCTCCGAAAATTTAAGTTCGAAGTTTGTCGGAAATTGACCCGCGAAATAAATTGTCAGCACAGTTAAAAAAGTTAAAGTTAAAAAAGTCCTGAATTGTTTCGGAAGTTTTTCGGACGTCCCATTGAACCATTATGAGTTGTTGATTGTTATAAAAGTATTACGAAGCCTCAAGCATACATAAGTGGTAAAAATGTTTCGCAGCGAATGCCTTTCGCTTGCGTATTTCAGTTTTACTAATGGCTCATGTGTGGGTATGTGGACGGTTGGCGTGCCTGCTGCTGCGCTGGTTCGTCACGTCATTTCGCGGGCACCGATCAGCTTCACGCGCAGCGCCAGCACGAGCTGACAAACACTGCAAAATATTGTGAAGTCCTATCAGGGTTCGCATATAAAAGCGTTATTTTCTCTTCCTGGTGTTTTCGAAACAGCTAGAAGACGGATGTGCATGTACTGCTTGCTGGCAATCTGCGGCACTCGTACTCGTCGCCGCCGCCTTGGCCGGCCGCGCCGTGTCACCGCCGCCTCGGCCGCGCCGTGTCACCGCCGACTCAGCCGCGCCCTATTGCCGCCGCCTCGGCCGCGCCGTATCGCTGCCGCCTCGGCCGCGCCGTGTCACCGCCACCTTGGCCGGGTTGTGTCGCCGCCGCCTTGGCCGCGCCGTGTCGCTGCCGCCTTGGCCGCGTCGTGTCGCTGCCGTCCCGGTCACGTCGTGTCGTCGTCGCCTCGGCCGGCGCGGCCGCGGCGCCGGGCCGCGTCGGCGCTAATTGACGTGCGGCGCGCCGGCGGCCGCCGCCGCCTCGGCCTACCTGACAGCCGGATGGATGGCGGGCGGCTGCGGCAGCGTGTGTCGGCCGCCCCCTGGCAGGGCCTGTTTGCCAGCGGCGGCGGCGGCCGCTGACGAGCGCGTCGGCCCTGTTTGGACCGCTGGCCGCCCTTCCCTCCGCCGGCCGCCCGACAGCGGCGGCCCGCCCCCCTGCGCAGGGCGGCGGCTGGCCGTCCGCCCGTTCGTCGGCCGGCCGCCGCGGCCGCACTCGTACGTCCGGCCGGTGTCCGTGCTGGTACGCCAGGCACCGCCTGAAGCGTGAGCGGCGCGGCGGCATTCACACACAATTACCGCCGGCGGCGCGGCCATTGTGTGGCCGGCGGGCGGCTCCGTGCACACTCGTCACCGGCCTGTCCGGTCGGTGGGTTTTCGCGGCCGGAGCGATCGATCGCCGGCGACCGTACAGCGCCGTCGTCAGGTGCTGCCCCGGGCGGTGCGAGGCGCTGCCCGCCTTACAGCGCTACCGTCAGGCGCTGCTCCGCCGTACAGCGCCGTCGTCAGGTGCTGCCCCGGGCGGTGCGAGGCGCTGCCCGCCTTACAGCGCTACCGTCAGGCGCTGCTCCGTCGTACAGCGCCGTCGTCAGCTGCTGCCTTGTTGTAGGCGACACGGGGGCCTATAAGTTAATGTTGACGACTCAGAGCGCTTAAAAATGGTGCATGGAGCGCTTTACGGCGCCTACTTGCGCTCGTTCATCCAATTATTTGAGTATCAGAGCGTCGCCCCGGTTAAGTAATTTCCACCGACCTCCACCGTTATCTGGTAGGTTTCTTCAAGCCAATTCTTCCCGGCAGAACTTTATTTTCGGTGCTGCTCAGCTGTGAAACCAGCTAAGGCCTTGTTTTTCCTCCGTAATGTAGAAGGGCCCTTCGGTCGGGACAGGCGGGATAAATCCTGGCTGCCGTCTCGCGAACAGGCCGCTCTTCAGCCGCCGTTTGATACGGCGGCTCCATTGGCGTGCTGAGGCGGCGCCAATGGAGCCGCTGAAGCAGTGAGAGCTTCTTCAGCTCTCTTGGCGTTCAGTGCTGACTGCCGCAGCAGGGCGGAGTTGGTCAGTGAGCGCGGGCCGGGGCGCTATCGACCCCGCCACAGAGCGCCACCCGAGGAGCCGGGCTCGACTGGTCGGGGCCGCCTCGCTCCCCAGCCCCGGCGGCGGTCGCTTCCGGTGGCGCGTCCGGCGCCGATTGGCGGTGATTTGGGCGGCCGGCGGCGGCGAGGCCGTCAGCGGACGCCCGCACACCGCTGCCGCCCACGGTCCCGTTCCTGGCCTCGTCCCCAGCCCCGGCCCCGGCCCCGGCCCCGGCCCCGGCCCCGGCCCCGGCCCCGGCCCCGGCCCCGGCCCCGGCCCCGGCCCCGGCCCCAGGCCCGGCCCCGGCCCCGGCCCCGGCCCCGGCCCCGGCGATTTTGCGTGGGCATCGAGCGGCCGGACGGTGGGTGGGTGGCCGGACCACGTGCTGTGCGTCGCCACGCTTTCCGGAGGGGTGAGGAAGCTGGTGCCATCCCACCCTGGCGCGCTGCGGCCCTCTGATGAGTGTCGCCAGAGGCCTGCGGGCGCGCCGGGATAACTTCGGTTTGCCCGCTGGAGGTCGGAGCGAGCTGGGTCCGGGCCGCCTGGTGCCGTAGACACGCGGAAGCGGAACTGGGGAGCGAGAATTTGATTGGCCCGTCCTCGCGTTAGTAGTGACACAGACCACTTGAATTTATGGCTGGTCTGACTGGTGCACTAAGCGCGACGATCTTTAAATATCGTGACTGAAACCATACCGCTATGTTGGTGCTGGTATGCAAGTGCCAGAATTTTCTGACATGAACATGATCAGCGATTTTCACTTAGGCCGTTTGGCTGCCCCCATTTATGTGGCGCTTGCTAGAGATTTGGGACAGTTTCATTGGTGTTGGCCGGGCGGATTTCAAAAGTGATGTCCACATTGTCACACGGTTTGTCACCGTTACGTCCATCCTGACTTGTCTGTCCGCCACTTGGTTACGGTCCCTGTCTCGGGCATGTCACGCATGGGTCAGCTGAATTTCCCCCTACCCGCTCTCACGCTCGAAAATGTCATGACTGCGCCGGCGAATGTTCATGCACGCATGAGTTTGGTATAACCTCATACCACGGCTAGTGCGATGCGCTACAGACACCCTCGTGCACGTGACGCAAATAACCAATAACCATTGCAGTTGTCGCGGCCTTACGACTAGCTGTTTCGCATGCGGAGTGTTACATCGCCGATCATTTCTTTTGTTTGCTTCTGCAGTTCCGAGTGCCATTGCGTGCCGTGCACTGACGTGCCTCGTGCCAGTCAAACGTCGCCCGCCCGTACCGCTCGCGCCCGGCTGTTGTCGGCGCCGAGCCGCCTTCGGCCGGCGCCGCTGTCCGCGGTGGTGAGTTTTGGCGGCACGTCCCCCGGCACGGGCAATTAGCCGGTCGCTGATTGGTCGGCCGGGCCGGCCCCAATCACGTGTCTGGCCGGCTGATGTTCGGCTGACGGACACGGGCCGGATTATGGCCGGTGGGCCGCTAATGCGACGCGTCTGACGAGGTGCGCCGCCGCGCTCATTACCGGCGCGTGGAGCGGCCCGAGTCCGCGCGATGGACCCGGGCTGGCCGTCCAGCCGCGGTCAGGCAGAGCGCCACCGTCGCCGCCCGGCTGGACCCGGTCGGCTGGTCCGTCAAGGGGTTTCGGGACTTTGAATGCGCGGATGGCTGCCGATGGACCATTGTTCGTGCCTGCGACCGGGTGATGACCTTCGTTCGGGCTGAACGACAGGGAAGAACCGGCTATGATTGTGATCTTCGGGAGTCTACAGTTAAACATGCGGCACTTATGGTCCATTGTCCTGAGCGTACGTAGCCCGCGACGGGTTGCTTGTCAGCTGTCGTTTGCGGGCGGCAAATAGTTTCAGCTGCACCCGCGAATTCAATGTTCAATGCGCTACGTATTTAACTCGCAAATTTATGTTTGAAAAAAAAACAAAGCAAATATAGCATTGTTCATGCGCTGTTGATAGAAACTACCGAGTTGTGAGAGGAAGATGAGGATTTTGGTGCTAGATGTGGCTTCTTATCAATGAAACTGCACAAAAACCAATTCTGTCTGTTCTAATAAGCAATCGTCATATGCTGTCGGCATTGAGCAAATGTTTCCGGAGGTTTATCAAGGACGGTACTTTCTAGAGCTGTACGTACGCTTGCACCGGAAGTTGTTATGGGGACATTTCTGTAATTGTGA